ATTTGTCTGGCCTGTTTGACATTGTATTGGAGACATTTGTCTGGCCTGTTTGACATTGTATTGGAGACATTTGTCTGGCCTGTTTGACATTGTATTGGAGACATTTGTCTGGCCTGTTTGACATTGTATTGGAGACATTTGTCTGGCCTGTTTGACATTGTGTTGTAATAATAATGTATGACCAGACTGTATCACAATGTATTGTCATAGATACATATTTGAATGGACTGTTCGACAATGTGTTGTTACAATGATTTTTAATGTGTTTCACTTTCGTATTGTTTGATACTTTCAGGAGCCTGGAGTTTACAGTTTGAGCGTGGCAGTGGGTTGGTGTCTCTCCGCAGTCTCTTATGGCAGGGCTATGTATTCTACCATATCCCAGGCTGTAAAAAGTATGGTTCTATCTACGTAGGAACAGGCGAGAAAAACCTTGACCTGCCTTTTATGTTGTAACTTTAACCTGACAACTAAGCAGACTCAAAATCAGTTTACAATGAAATAAACATCTACTGTGGGTTTTGAAATCCTACAAAGAAGATAAATACCATGGAACCATTTTGCATTGGAGTTAGTCAGATATAGTGCCTGCATATAAAAAAATTACAGCTAGGGACAGAACTTACTTTAAAGATCAGCAACAGTGACGTGAATAATCACAATGAATATGTTAACTAAAACATTGATATGATGAAGCGTGCTACAAACTACGGCGAATCCCAACAAATGGATATATGGAGTTATGTAGATACATGCAGTGAACAAGAAACAAACTATATTGTTAAAAAAAATAAGAGCTATCTCCTGTCATTCCAAAAAATGTGTAAAGCTGTATAATAAGATGAAGTACATTCAGCTCTGTGTCATTATCATTACTTAAGGAACACATGAATATCGAAATGTTTTTTGTTCATATTTTACCTTTCTCTGTCATTATACATATTATGTAAATATGAATAAAAAGTATAAAAAGTATCTCAACTTGTAAATAAATCAACTTATGTAAGGAAATTAATGTCTTTATGATTTATGTTTATTTATATATGTACCAGTACAAAAACACCAACTCTCACCTGTATTTTTATTTGTACTGCTATGAGATGACTTATTTTGAAACAGTAACAATGTTTCTTCAAAACAATGTTTAAACCATTCCTGTCAACTGACACGATTTCATCTGATGTCAGTTAAGGAAGATTAGCTCACAGTCACATGAACATTTTCCCTGGATCAGGATCAGCAAATTGTCTACAACCTGGTGGAGGTCTGAAGTGTTTGAAAATGGCTATCCTGTTTGATGTGTTGGATATTCCAAATCAACACCAAGAGAAACTATGGACACTTAAATTTGTTTTGGTTGCCACATGGCAACAATCCGTACATGCTATATTTTCACTATATATTACCAAAGCTAAAAGGACTATAGGGGCATTTATAAAGATCATTTCCAGCCTCATCAGGGATATAGGATAAGTTGTTACATTCGTAATCTTGGATAAATGAAGTACGCAATATAGAGAATAATACATGCCTTTTTCCATATCACACCCAGTATCAACCCGAGACTGCAATATCAGCCCAAGGGCCGAAGGCCCGAGGGCTGATATTGGCCGAGGGTTGATACTTGATATGGTGATATGGAAAAAGGTGTGTTTTATTCTGTTTATTACATATTTACTAATAAAAACTACTATCTTATGATTTCATTTTCTTTTTGAAATATTGAAAAACGAAAAAAAATCCAAAAGGGGTGTGATATGGGTTTTGCGGGCTGATACAGGTTTTGGGGTATGAGTATCAGTAAGTATGTAATAAAATGAAATATCAAATTTATTCAACAGCTGGTAAAGGAGATATGGTATACAGAGAGTTATAAACATGCATTTTCATAATAAAATGTATGAATATTGTCTATTGTACTCTATTTACATTGAAAATTTCATTTCTTCATGCTAACTGTCCAAAAACACCATATTTCGGCTCTTTCTGCATAGCAACACAATTTTACTGGTAGGACATGTATGCATGCCCATTAAAAATTGAATGCACCAGGACAGATAACAAGCCCTGCAGTTTACCAATATGATGTTTATAAAAGAAATTGGTAAATATGATGTTTATAAAAGATATCAGTAGTTGGAATTTTTATCAGTAGTTGGAATTTTTACTTTTCATGTGGCCGAAAAAGACCTGTATTGTCCCAAGTCCATTGAGGTTAACATGATGTGAATTAATATAATATAATTCTTTATTTATTTCACGAGGATTACGAACAGCCCAAGGGCTACTAGTCGTTTTCCTCACATTTAACAAATAAGTGAACTGTACAACATTTACATTATTAACATACAGTACAAAAAACAGGAAGTGCATGAACATTTACACTGTTCATTCGCACCACTTCATGACACATACACACCCACACACAAACAGACAAATACAGCGAGAACAATAAGAAGGAAGAAAGACAGAAACAGACAGAGAGAGGGAGAGAGACACAGAGATAGGATGAGAGGGAAAGACAGACAGGCAGACAGAGAGAGTGAGGGAAAGAGGGGAGGGGGAAGAGACAGGCAGGCAGACAGACAGAGAGTCTACTTGAATCTATTACTTCCCTCGATCAATTTAAAGACAGACTGAAAATATTTAGTTACTTTGTACGCACCAGTACATATAAGTGCAGCTCTATGCTGAACACTTTCTAAAAGATGTGATTCTACCTGCGTGCAATTATCAAATAAAATATCACCATATTCTAATGTTGATCGAATAATAGATTTATATAAAGCTTCCATACACGAACGAGGAATAATATAACATAAAGTAAGGAAAATATTTAGAATTTTGTTTGCTTTTGTAACTTGATCAGAGATATGAGATGTCCATGTTAAGTTTTCACAAAGTTTTAAACCAAGATGCTTGTGTGTAGAAACTCGCTTTATAGCTATATTATGTAATTTGATAGTAGGCGTTATTATGTTTGGTTTCTTAGAAAAAATTACAAGTTCTGTTTTGTTTGGATTGTAAGTAACTAGCCATTTGTTTGCCCATAAAGATAATTTTTGTAAGTCATTGTTTAGCATTGTTACAGAGGTTTTGTTTAAAAGTTCTTTAGAGAGAGATGTGTCATCAGCAAAGAGGCTTATATCACATTGTAAGTTATGGTTAATATCATTTATGTAAATTAGAAAGAAAAGAGGACCTAAAATAGATTCCTGTGGAACCCCGGCATTTGTATACAAACAACTGGAGGCTTTACGTCTGGACGGTCGTGCCGCATTTTGCCAAGATTTTCAGTAAAGTAATTGAGGAAAGAATTTCTAGATTCTGAAGTTTGATTTGGTGGCCTATATATTGTGCCGATAAATAGTTAATAAAGAATTAATATTGTCATTACATTACAAATATTATCCTACTAAAGGTTACAAATTGGCAGATCCTGACAGATTAATTGTTGCTTAGGAGGCTGAAAATACTGTAACACCTTATAACCAGATATTTAGTGATGACCAGATATGGGAGTATCAAATATTGACAAGTACAAATTACCATATTGACATATTAAACTCAACAGTTACAGAATGTCAAGCCAAAGGCAAATTAATTACCCATCCCAATTTTATGATGTCAAACTCAGATTGATTATTGCTGATTATCATGAGAAAACAACATGAGTTAAACATAAGAAAATAGGTATACATGTTGGGGATGGGGTAGGGGGTACAGAAAGGGCCATAACTCTGTTTAAATATCATGACATCACTTGCATCTAATGCTGACAATGAAACCTATGAAGTTCACTAGTCACAGGCAAAATTATTTCTCAAGTCTAAAAAATAAAATTAAAGTTTTCATTATACCAATATAATTATTAAATATAGATTTATAAGAGTAAACAAAATTAAAAAAGAAAGAAAAAAAAAGAATAGGCCTATCAGGCCTGTATCAATCTCCTCATTGACATCACATCGATGACATTCAAAGAGAAGACAGATAAAATGTATTCAAATGGGCTAAATATTGTTACTATACATTACAGATCTTTTAAGCTGCACATACAGGTCAAATTTATTAACCTAGGTCTTTTGGTTATTAAGAAAGGTCATTTTCTACACATTTGACCCCAGTGAGAGACTTTGAAAGTGGGTGAAGGTAATTTATTTGATCAAACTTGATAGCTGTTATCTGAGCCAAATATCATCACCCCAAAGCCTTTTGGCTATTCAGGAGACATTATCTTTTTTTTCTTTTTTCACATTTGACCCCAGTGAAGAATTTAAGTGAAGATCATCTAATTGAACAAATTTTATAGCCCTACATCCTAGCATTCTATTAGCTAGATATCATTATCTTAGTAGGCTTTTTAAATATAACACATAGTTATTAAGAAGTCGTTTAAAGTAAACGTTGACACCGAATAGATGGATGGACAGACACTGATGCACACCAATAGGCTCACTTTGTACAGGTCAGGTGAGCTAAAAAACATAAATAATCGAATAAAATCCCATGAAATATATTAGTTTGATACCAATTAAAAGTACAATTCATTTAATTGTGCCAGATCTCCAGAATACGGACCCTAACTAATTGTATGCTGCATGTCTTGCATGCATGTTTACATGAGAAGGAAAATTAAATAAACATTAAATATCAAACGGGATTCGATCGATCAGGGTAAACTTGTATCTGGTCATAGAGAAGCTGTTTTATTTGGGGTACATAATGTCTTGTTGATAACATTTTACTTATCTTATATATATATGTATGCAATGATCACTGGGACAAGGGTATCATTAGCTCACCTGGCCTGAGGGGCCAAGTGAGCTTATGCTGTGGTGCTGCATCCGTCATCCGTCCGTCTGTTAGGCGTCTGGTGTCAATATTTTACTTTAAACGACTTCTTCTGAATAACCAAGAGGCCCAGGCTGATGATATTTGGCCAGTAGCATGCTAGGATAAAGGGCTACCAAGTTTGTTCAAATGAATGACCTTGACCAACTTTCAAGGTCACAGGGGTCAAATGACTTAAAATCTTCAAACAACTTCTTCTCAATAATCAAAAGACCCAGGGTACTGAAATTGGGCCTGTAGCATGCTGGGATGAAGAGCTACCAAGTTTGTTCAAATGAATGACCTTCACCTTTATTCAAGGTCACAGGGGTCAAATGTTTTAAAAATTTCAAATGACTTCTTCTCAATAACCAATAGGCCAGGGGTACTGATATTGGGCCTGTAGCATGCTGGGATAAAGGGCTACCAAGTTTGTCCAAATGAATGACCTTGACCCACTTTCAAGGTGACAGGGTCAAATGTCTTAAAATCTTCAAATGACTTATTCTCATTAACCAAAAGGCACAGGGTACTGATATAAGGCCTGGAGCATGCTGGGATGAAGGGCTACCAAGTTTGTTTAAATTAATGACCTTGATATACTTTCAAGGTCACAGGGGTCAAATGTCTTAAAATCTTCAAACACTTTATTCTTAATAACCAAAAGGCCCAGGGTACTGATATTGGGCCTGTAGCATGCTGGGATGAAGGGCTACCAAGTTTGTTTAAATTAATGACCTTGATATACTTTCAAGGTCACAGGGGTCAAATGTCTTAAAATCTTCAAATGACTTATTCTCATTAACCAAAAGGCACAGGGTACTGATACAAGGCCTGGAGCATGCTGGGATGAAGGGCTACCAAGTTTGTTCAAATGAATTACCTTGACCCACTTTCAACCTAATGTCCTTGTAATTGTAATCTTTTAATTGTTTTTTATGAATCAAACATTGATATTCTGCCTGTAGCTGTATTTCAGTCCACTTTTAAGATTACAAAAGTGAGATTAATACCAGGTGAGCGATGCAGGCCCATTGGGCCCCTTGTTTTCTTATGCCAATCCGCAGCGTCCATCTTCCGTCAACGGCCAAGTAGATTTTGACTAAATTTGGTCTGGAGCATCCTTGGGCCAAGGGGACTCAATTTTGTATAAACGGTGGGTGTGGCTCCCCTGGGGGCAGAAGGGCGTGGCCAAACAATGGAAATAGAGGTAAAACCTTCAAAATCATTCTTCTACCATAGGGATTAAGGAATTTTATCCTAAATAAGTCTGGAGCATCCTCGGACCAAGGGGACACAATTTTGTATAAACGGCGGGTGTGGCCCCCCTGGGGGCAGAAGGGCGGAGTCAAATAATGGAAATAGAGGTAAAACCTTTAAAATCATTCTTCTACTGTAAGGATTGAGGGATTTTATTCTAATTTAACCTCAAACACCTATCGGCCAAGGGGATTTGATTTTGTATAAATGGTGGGTGTGCCCCCCCTGGGAGCAGAGGGGTGGGCCAAATAGGGGAAATAGAGGTAAAACCTTTAAAATCCTTCTTCTATCGTAGGGATTAGGGGATTTTATCCTGATATAGTCTGGAGCTTCCTTGGGCCAAGGGAACTCAATTTTGAATAAACGGTGGGTGTGGCCCCCCTGGGGGCAGAGGACCGGGGCCAAATAGGGGGAATAAAGGTAAAACCTTTAAATCCTTATTCTACCATAGGGATGAAGGGATTCCATCCCAATTTGGTCTGGAGCGTCTTTGGGCAAGAGGGATTCAATTTTGCATAAACAGTGAGTGTGGTCCCCCTGGGGGCAGAGGGGCGGGCCTGATAGGGGAAATAGAGCAAATTCTTCAAAATTCTTCTTCTTCTGTAGGAATGACAGGATTTTGGTATGAAGCACCCTTTGTTGAAGGGGAACCAATAGTGTATATACAGAGGCTGGCCCAATAAGGGATATAGAGGAATAGCTCTTATATCCTTTTTCTTCTGTTGGGATGAAGGTATTTTGACCAAATTTGAACAGTAGCATCCTATGGGGAAGGGAAATACATTTTGTATAAATGGTGAGTCTGACCCCCCTGGGGCCTATGGGGTGGAGCCCAAAACGGGTAATTTAGGAAATTCTTTGAAATCTTCCTTTTCCTGTAGGAATGACAGGATTTTGTCCAATTGCATATAAATATAACCCCTGACTAACCATGAAATACATGTACAGTAACATCTCGCTATTTCATCTTCAATTTTGCTAACATTTCCAGGTGAGCGTTACAGGCCCTCTGGGCCTCTTGATTAAGGATCCCTTTCTCACTGCAGACAAAACATACACTAGAAAACTATATACGCATGCTTTTATGTCCATGCAGAAATGTTATTGCATACTATTGTCAGTGATTGTATTTGATTTATTTCCCCTTTATATTTTTTTTATGAAAATTAACACAAAGTATGTTTTTTATATGGGCCCCCGCCATCTGCCTCAGAAGGTCCATATAGGTGCTGGACACACTAATGTCCATGCAGCATCTGTGAGGAAGTCAGTTAATCTATACCTTCGTCTTCTGCAGCCCCCCTCCGCCCTCCCATTCCAGTGTTAAGGGGGAATCATCTTTTGTCTCAGCAATTCTGGACAAGTAGTTTTTTTAAGAAAAAGTTGACCAGAAAATGGTGGGGTGACAGAGGAATATTTTGTAGGTCTAAATCTTCACAATGGATTAAATGCGGCTTCAAACTAAAATTCAAACTCAAAATGTTAACCAGGAATACATATTTTATCTTGATAGGGATCAATTAAAGCCATGCAGCTGTAATCATATATATATTTGAGACTTTATTTCGAGATCATTTCAATCAACAAATATGTACACATATTGCATGCATATGATCCACAAACTTCATAAGGATTTAAAAATACATATTTCACCGTTTGAATTTTTTTAAGCATTATGTTTTGTATAATATGTGTCAAAGAGGTTTAGAAATGAATTAAAAAGATAATTAAAACACATTTCTTTTGGAGATCGAATAGTTATAATCAATTAGCAAAAATTCCATTTTTGTTCTCCTAATAATTGTATTAAAAACTCTAAGCATATCAGAGACAACCCACAATTATGGAGAGTTGATTAATAGAAGATTAAAAATTGCGGAAACGTGCAGCTAGCTTCCTTAAGCAGCTAGCCCCGGAAGCGATATTTACGCATGCGTGCTTATGATGGCGAATGTAAACTTCCTGTCTGCTAAATTGTATCTCAGAAACAAATAACTGCATATTCAGTCGTCATGTATGCTTATGACGAGGGGGATGACCCTGCAGATAATTACCAGAAATCAGTTCGAGGTAATGGTGATGGTTAAGTTACTCAATTTGAACCAAATTCGCGATATTTACTCAAATTTTTGCGACTCTCTATAATCTATCATTTTCCCTCCATCTGTCGTTTGTGTCGTCTACTGTTCAGTACATTTCAGAAAACTGATGTTTGCAATAATTTCGATAGCTCTCTAAAATAGTTGAATGTTTTATCGTGTTTTTTCCTCAAACGTTAAACTTTTAAAAATACACATTTAAGTTATAGACTAAATGTGCATACATAAATAAGAAAAATCATATGTATTTTCAAGTCACAACTTGCAACTGTCATAATATTTAGGTTGGTGTTTCACGCTATAGATCTATTCACGTTGAAACATATTGCAGTATATACGATATATTGCAATATCTCACAATATATGTATTCCTGAAGGATAAGATATTTTACAACGGATTTATTTAGAAAATACAAAGTGAACACAAGCTCAGCTTTTCCTAGTCCTATATCATAAGAAGCTGCTGGTCAGGCTTTTTTCTATCGGATATGATTTTGCCAACTGCAACGCTTGTCAAAAGTATCTCGCCGTGTTAACCTATAACACTAGTGGAGTAAAGTTCAGCAAGCTTCAGCGATAAATTGAAAATATAGTTTTGAATGTTTTAACACGCCAACCCAGCTTATTTCCAATATTTTGGGTAACCCTTGCCTGTTTAAATTTTAACAATATTTCTGGAATATAATTGCTGAACTATGCTTAAATGCCTAGCAATTGATTGAAAATTCATATTACAAAAAATATACTGAAAGAAAAGATTATAAAGAAACGCAGGGTAAACATTTGAAGTGATTTAATGTTATGTATTTGAATGTTATACAGATACATATAATATATAAAAAATCATTATATTTTGACTGATAATTCATGATAAATTAAAGCACATTAGCCGATTAACTAAAATATTGCAAAGTGAAATTGACTGACTCATCAGTATCTCGCATATATAAATGCCCAGACCCTTCCATGATATCTAGTTGGTCATGCAATCCCCAAAGTTACCTGGGGACAGTCTGTTGAGAGTATATATATATACTGTGTAGTATGGGTTACATGTCTATATTTTTTAGAACCTACTTTAATATCAGGGTCTGAGTTCTGTCACTGAGTTTTCTATCAATACTTGTAGTTATTGCATGTATCTGATCCTAAAATGTATTTATTGTTTAAGCATGTGAATTGCGCCTGACTGTGTTTATGAATTGTAGATCGGGCTAATGTCAGTTTGAATGAGTTGGAGGATGTTCTGATGGGGACAGGAAATAGTCCCAACAACTCTATGACGTCGTATGCCAAGAACCAGCTTAAGACCTCTGTACACCCACGCACACTCAAGTGGTATGAAGACTCTGGCCGTCCACAGAAGTACAAGGATGCTTCCAATCAGCTGGGTCATATTCTCAGCTCGCAGCAGGAGAAACAGGTGGATAACAAACGCAATATTCCAAACATTTTCATAGCCATTAAATATTATAATTGAACTAGCACAACCTGAAAAATGAGTAATAGAAATTTTGCTGGTAAATAATATAAATAACCTTTTATTACCAGGCATCTGGCCCCGGAATCTCGAAACTTCTTATTCTGAACTCTCCATTCTAAATCTTAAGCTAAGTACTTATTTAGCTGAGTATTTCTCAAATTGGTGTATTTGAAGGCATTCTTAAATATTTGAGAATGTACTTAACTTAGAATGTGTTTGTTGAAACATAAGTGGCCCTATTTGGAACTCTTCAATAAAAAGAAGTACTATCAGTGTATAAAACACTTGGGGAAATAACTAGAATAGATAATCCCTCACTTTTTTGCTGCATATAGCAATATACAGGCATTGAAAAAGACAGATGATACCAGTTTTTTTTTTATATTATACATATCATTGAATGCTAGATATTGGTAGGGGATTTTTGCCTAATGGAAAAGTTTTCATAGATCAGTGCAAAATATTCATATTCATAAATACATGCAAACCGAAAAACATTTGCCCAGTCAAATATTTGCCTTTCACAGGTAAAATAATTATTTGCCCAGTGTAAATTCCGCCCACCACACATATTTATTATTACTATAGATCTATATGGTATGCTGTGTACTAATATTCATTACCATGATAAATATGTCCTCATTGCGGAAGGTGAAAAGGTGAAAATTAAACAGTGGTAAAGATTTCCCAGGATACAGTATATATATATAACAGTTTAACAATACCATGATTCCTGTGTAGCTATACTGTATGTGTACCAATATCACATTGGGTACAGTCAGCTGGGTAAAATCTGTAGCTAAATATGCCCTCTCTTTGCAGCACATACAAAAAATGACTGGACCAGAACCACAGAAGGCAGTCCATGGTCCCTTGCCATCTGTCGAGGAAGCGGCAGCCATTTTACAAACCCAGACCAGTTACATTCACCAGCTAGAAAATGAAAACAGATACATCAAGGTCAGCAATCTTTGGAATATTGTCATACTACCATAACCCCTTTATGTAATCCTAACACAGAACCACAATACCTAATCACCTGTTACCCACAAAACAATTGAAATAACTCTCTGAAAGTCTATACAACCCTGACAGGAATCCATTGATGTTATACTGTGTTATGCTAAAACAATACTGTTGATATAATTAGCAAACTCTGGAACCAGATATAATCCTAACAAAACCACTGACATAATACACTGGAACTCTAATTAACCCTACAGTAAACCATTGACATTACTCTGTTAGCCCTACAGTAAACCATCGACATTACTCTGATAGCCCTACAGTAAACCATTGACATTACTCTGTTAGCCCTACAGTAAACCATTGACATTATTCTGTTAGCCCTACATTAAACCATTGACATTAGTCTGTTATCCCTACAGTAACCCATTGACATTACACTGTTAGCACTACAGTAAACCATTGACATTCCTCTGTTAGCCCTACAGTAACCCATTGACATTACACTGTTAGCACTACAGTAAACCATTGACATTACTGTGTAAGCCCTACAGTAAACCATTGACATTATTCTGTTAGCCCTACATTAAACCATTGACATTAGTCTGTTATCCCTCCAGTAAACCATTGACATTACTGTGTTAGACCTACAGTAAACCATTGACATTGCTCTGTTAGCCCTACAGTAAACCCTTGACATTACTCTGTTAGCCCTATAGTAAACCATTGACATTACTCTCTTAGCCCTACAGTAAACCATTTACATTACTCTGTTAGCCCTACATTAAACCATTGACATTAGTCTGTTATCCCTCCAGTAAACCATTGACATTACTGTGTAAGCCCTACAGTAAACCATTGACATTTCTCTGTTAGCCCTACAGTAAACCCTTGACATTACTCTGTTAGCCCTTCAGTAAACGATTGACATTACTCTGTTAGCCTTACAGAAAACCATTGACATTACTCTGTTATCCCTACAGTAAACCATTGACATTACTGTGTAAGCCCTACAGTAAACCATTGACATTCCTCTGTTAGCCCTACAGTAACCCATTGACATTACACTGTTAGCACTACAGTAAACCATTGACATTGCTCTGTTAGACCTACAGTAAACCATTGACATTGCTCTGTTAGCCCTACAGTAAATCATTGACATTACTGTGTAAGCCCTACAGTAAACCATTGACCTTACTCTGGTAGCCCTACAGTAAACCATTGCCATTACTATGTTAGCCCTACAGTAAACCATTGACATTACTCTGTTAGCCTTATCTAGAACCATTCATCGCGTTATACTAGTAACCTGTAAATTAAGCCAATGTGTAAACCAGGTATTAAATATTACAGGACCTCTGGGCCTAATGTTTTTTTTATAATTGGTATGTATTTTAGGAAGAGCTGTTTGCACTGAGAGCGAAAGTTGGAGAACTTTTAGATGAAAACAGAAGACTTCATGATGAGTTAAAGAAAAGTGTGATGCAAGAAGTATTTGGTGTAGAGGGTGATTTTTCCAAGGTAAGACAAACCACTGTTTTATTGTATTCATTCATAACAAATTGTTATCCCTCTATAGTATTCCTAGATTATGAAAACACTGTAATAAACTTGAAAATTGTCATCTAGTGTGTAGTCAGATTTGCAAGCTGACTTTATACAGGCTTATTCTGTTTTTCTAATTAGTAGATTAGATTGTACATATCCATGAAAAAGGCTTTCAATGATAAAAAAAGGTCAAAAACTTAAAATATGTCTCAACTCAAGTGGTGGAAATGTAATCAAGTTATATATAATTACTCGGATATGTATTGGTTTTCTTTACTTATAAATCAGGATTAAACATTAAGTGATCACAGAGACACCTCTATAGGGTTAATACCTGGTTCTAGTTATCTAACAACAGAAGGCACCTGTATAGGACCCGGGTAATACCTGTTTCTAATTATCTGACAACAGAAGGCACCTGTATAGGGTTAATACCTGGTTCTAATTATCTGACAACAGAAAGCATTTGTATAGGGGTAATACCTGTTTCCAATTATCTGACAACAGAAGGCATTTGTATAGGGGTAATACCTGGTTCTAATTATCTGACAACAGAAGGCACCTGTATAGGGGTAATTCCTGGTTCTAATTATCTGACAACAGAAGGCACCTGTATAGGGTTAATACCTGGTTCTAATTATCTGACAACAGAAGGCATTTGTATAGGGTTAATACCTGTTTCTAATTATCTGACAACAGAAGGCATTTGTATAGGGGGAATACCTGTTTCTAATTATCTGACAACAGAAGGCATTTGTATAGGGGTAATACCTGTTTCTAATTATATGACAACAGAAGGCACCTGTATAGGGTTAATACCTGTTTCTAAATATCTGACAACAGAAGGCACCTGTATAGGGCCCGGGTAATACCTGTTTCTAATTATCTGACAACAGAAGGCATCTGTATAGGGGTAATACCTGATGCTAAATATTCTGATCACAAATTAAATTATTTGAAAGCCTTGAAATGTTTTAAAATGAAACTAATAGTTAGTTATTATCACAGGTATGTAATTTCTCTGTGGTACACACAGTTATAATTTTGTTAGACTGCCTTTAAAAGACTTAAAGCTTAACCCTTGGTCAGTTTTACCTGTAATAATTCCCCCACACCTGTAACGAGTGACTCCCTGACCAGGTACAATATCAGGTTAATCCTGCCTAATCCCTGTCATTATGGTGGGATCCTTGTCAGAGATAAGCCTGGTCATGACTTGCTGTCCTGGCTGGTTTAGATACCTTCTCATTAACTTTCTATCGTACACTCTTGTGGCCTAGTCCAGTTTCCATGGCAAATATGCCAAAGCAGTATTTTGTTTTAAAGGTGAACTTACATTATGTAATGGTGTGAAAAGTTGAATGAAATAAGTGACAATAGAATTTGTGTATATTTTATATCTTAAACCAATCTTGTTGACAGGTAGACGATTCCTTCCTGATGGATGACGGAAGACCGGCTTTCCAAAGTCGGGATATTCGCAACATTCAGATAGAGATGGTGAGTTAATATAACTAATCATATAATCTTCCATTAAAAATTCATATTGTTAGATAACTTGTTTATATGTAAAACATACATATATTTTAAGGTAAATTTTGTTTCAATATCAGAAAGTTTACAAATATTGTACTGTTGTTGATGTATGTAAAATTTCAGGAGCGCCTAAGTTCTATCCATGCTGCCCGAACAGAGAGACTGGAGTCCCAACTAACCCACTCCAGGTGTGTATAGCTCACTGGCTCGTTAGACATTGTACCTATAACACTTGTGTACCTGGCAGTAGATATGTTCACTTCAGTGCCAGAGCTCATGTCCTTTTACACTAAAAAATATTTGTAAACATTACACATTACCTGTAGTAGGACCTAACTGTAGCAGGACCAGAGCCCTATTGATATTTAGATTCAAAGGTCAAGGTCATTTTAAATGCATTGCAGACCATCAATTGGTCATTTAAAGTGTACCTGATTGTCATCAATATGGTTAACTTTAGTTCACAGTCATTGACATAAGCAGGCTTACTTTTCCAGATGTTTAATGGTGGGATTCTAAATTAAATGAGTGATATATAAGGCCCTGTGAGCCTCTTGTTCCACTTCTCTAGTTCTGGTTGGTCAATTAACTCATGGCTCTGACAAAACTTTCATAATAACAGGCAAGCAATACAGGCCCCATATTTTCTCTTGAGCTCAGTTTTTCTTTGTAGTAGTTGAACGTCGATAGGAAGCTTGAGCTTGCAGAGACGTCTAAATATCCTCTTCTGACTTGATACGTTGCTAGCAGAATAGCCTGCCAGCAACGGACTCCGGTTAGGCAGGGATTAAAATTATTTACATTGTAACAAGCTTTTACACTATATTTTGTTGTTAATACTTTGTTCCTTGTTCCATGTTCCTTAAAAAATTCTAAAAATTCTAGAAAAGTTAGTTATCAGGGTATCAGTAGACTAAATTAATATAGTAATTGTGTTTGGATACATTTGCTGTTATCAATAAGGATTAGATAGAAAAGAGCAGAAACTGGAAAATATCACATATCAGCATCCCTAGTCAGTGGCCTCAGCACAAAGATGTATAAGTATAAATGTGTTGTTGCAAACATTTGAAATGATTAAAGGGCATATTTAATAAGATATTTTGTTTTTGCCAGAGAGGAGATCCAGAGATACGAACAGCTTACAGAGGACCTAAGGTCACAACTACGCATGAGGGATGTGATCCCTACCCGAGAGGATGGCATATTTATTGATACTTCCTACTTGTCCGATGCTCAAAAGGGCTTCCACAAACAGACCATTGACAGACTCACAAAGTAAGTCACCTGCAAACAGACCATTGACAGACCCACAAAGTAAGTCAACCATAAACAGACCATTGATAGACTCACAAAGTCAGTCGACCGCAAACAGACCATTGACAGACTCACAAAGTAAGTCACCCACAAACAGACCATTGACAGACTCACAAAGTAAGTCACACGCAAACAGACCATTGACAGACTCACAAAGTAAGTCAACCATAAACAGACCATTGATAGACTCACAAAGTCAGTCGACCGCAAACAGACCATTAACAGACTCACAAAGTAAGTCACCCACAAACAGACCATTGACAGACACAAACAGTAAGTCACCCGCAAACAGACCATTGACAGACTCCCAAAGTAAGTCACCTGCAAACAGACCATTGACAGACTCACAAAGTAAATCAGCCGCAAACAGACCATTGACAGACTCACGAAGTAAGTCAGCCACAAACAGACCATTGACAGACTCACAAAGTAAATCACCCGCAAACAGACCATTGACAGACTCACTAAGTAAGTCAGCCACAAACAGTCGATTGACAGACTCACAAAGTAAGTCAACCTTAAACAGACCCTTGACAGACTCACAAAGTAAGTCAACCGCAAACAGACCATTGACGGACTCACAAAGTAAGTCAACCACAAACAAACCAATGACAGACTCACAAAGTAAGTCACCCGCAAACAGATCATTGACAGACTCACAAAGTAAGTCACCCACAAACAGACCATTGACAGACACAAACAGTAAGTCACCCGCAAACAGACCATTGACAGACACAAACAGTAAGTCCACCATAAACAGACCATTGACAGACTCACAAAGTAAGTCACACGCAAACAGACCATTGACAGACTCACAAAGTAAGTCGTCCGCAAACAGACCATTGACAGACTCACAAAGTAAATCAGCCGCAAACAGACCATTGACAGACTCACAAAGTAAGTCACCCGTAAACAGACCATTGACAGACTCACAAAGTAAGTCAGCCACAAACAGACCATTTACAGACTCACAAAGTAAGTCAACCTTAAACAGACCATTGACAGACTCACAAAGTAAGTCAACCACAAACAAACCAATGACAGACTCACAAAGTAAGTCACCACCCACAAACAGGCCATTGACAGACTCACAAAGTAAATCTCTGAAGGATAAATTATCTACAGACTCACAAAGTCACACACATAAGTCATTATGCAACTCACAAAGTAAGTCATCCATGGACATATAATGATCTGAATCGCAACAACAAACATATCATAACAGATACATCATTCCTGCTGTTGTTGGAATTATTAGGGACCCATGTTATAAATGTAAACTTCATTTATCTTACAACAATTGAAAAACAAGTTTTATAAATATATCATTAATCGCTCTTGTTGACCCGAATGGAAGCGCGCAAAGGATCTCAATGTAGGAGGAAACTTTATTGACAGTAGAATACCCTTGTGGCCAGGGCAGGTGACCCGATACCTTTTCATGTCCGATTAAGGAATTGAACCTTAGCTGCTTTGGTGAAAGGCGAGTACATTATCACACCTGACCATCTGGTTGATAAGCATACTCATGTTGATATACATAAACTGTATATCTGTCTGATGTTACAGGGAGCGTGATGAACTGATGGAGCATGTGACGGTTCTGAAGGGGCGTGTTTCTGAGATGGTAGGGCGTGAGGAGGAAGCCTACCAGCAGATGAAAAAAGGCATTGAACTTGTGGAGGAGGCCCAGTTTGAGCAGACACAGGTAAGGCAGACTGTCTTCATTTTCAAAGTAAACAGACAATTATAAAACAGAACATCCCTAAAATAAGTGACAATATTAAAATGCTGTGGGTGAACAAATAAGAACCAATGCATTTCAGTATTGCAATGTTAATTTTGTTTGATTAAATGGGATATGACTATTAACTAGCATGTGACTTACCCTTCACAGGCCATGGTACAGAGGGAACAGTTGAATGAGGAGCTCAACAGCATGAGGCGCCGGTTTGATGCTCATATCAACGACACACAAATAAAGATGAATGAGGATAGAGAAGCAGTGCGACGGGAAAATACGACAATTGTAGAGGAACTAAATGGCAAGGTTAGTAACAATGTTCCTAGGGTAAGTATACCCTATAACACTGATACATATATATGTACTATATATTACTACACCACTTAAATGTTTGAGTGTATACTTCTCTAGATTTGCTCTAAATTTTTGGATATTAAGGTTCTGCACATTTGTTGCATTTTCATCAGTTGCATATTAGTATAAATTCAGGGGGTCAACTTTCAGGTTTATTATTAGTCAAAGTTCTAACAACTTATAATAATACAGCAAACTTCTTGCATATATTTCGTATATGTATTTTTCAGGCCATAAAAGTTGCAAAAATAACATCCTCCATAATGTAAGAGCTATACACGACTCAAGTATATTTTACCTTGATACTCCTACTCAGTTAGGACTTCAATTTGTTTGTCATTTATTACGGAATGTTTTGAACAACAGTACATTTATTCATATCATGAATTATACTTCATATGTAGTTTCAGTCGTTATGGTTTGCAGAGTGTTATAATGTTGATTATATATTTCAGATAAAGGAGCTCAATCTCCAGACAGCTGCCATGTCTACACAAATGGACAAGGTCACGCGGGACAAAGTGGCGCTCATCAATGAACTAGATGAACTCAAGGTGCAGCTACGTCGATATGATAAGGAGGCAGCCATGGTAAGAATGCCATAACAGCTGAACTTAAATGACCTCTGTTTCTGACTCTCCTGTTAGCTCGGATGCTGCTGTAAGCTCTAATTTTGGCATTCATATTCAGGAGCTTATATCAGGAAAACAGTTAGAGGAAATAATGTTAATTTTCTCATTGTTTGTTCATTTATTCATCACTCTAGCGTCTACATTTCACAGATATTTACATTGGACATGCATTTGTTATGTTTTAGAATAGTTTTCATCACTTCAAGGTTTTGGTCACTATTGCTAAAATTAGAACATTTATAAAAAAAATTGGTGTGTTATCTCTGTAGCAGCTGTGTTTCTTCTTCAGATTTTCACGAAATTTGACATGTTTGCTTTTAACATAAAATTAACCAGTTTGTGTAACATTGTTGTAACTTGAAAGACTTATCTGCCTTGGCATAGCTTTGATAAGTTTCATTCTGGTTGTTATCGGTCAAGGTCATGCCTTGTTTGTAACTTTCTAGTCTACAGATACATTTCGTGCTGAGTCAACCAATGCCAGTCTACAGAAAAGCCATGCCCAACAGGAGGTGGCCCGTCTGAGGAAGGACATGGACACACTACGCCGTGCCAAGGACCAGGTCAGTGTCTGGACATGCTAGTCCTGTGTCCTGAGAACATGTGCGAACCAGTGATCACATTGTCGCACAAAGTTAGATAAATTGGAATCTGTGTTTACTTTTGATAAAAGCAGATTAACCTTTGTTTAACCTTCTACTGTCTGGGATGACATGGGAGGGAGATATCCTGTTTCCTCTCACCTCTTTTGATCTGTTATCAAGTCTCGATTTTTTTGTACACTAAATAGGATGTAGTTGGTTGACCAAATTAAGGAATTTTTGAAAAAATTACAGGAGAGAACTCAGCAGCAAATGGAGCTAGATAACGCCCGACGACGTCTACAGAAGGCTGAACGTGATCTAGTGAACAGCAAAGAGGAATGTATACACCTCACCACCACTACACAGGCCCTGGAGAGAGAGGTAAACCTCGGGTTATCACACTAACTTCTCATACCTTCTGGTAGGGGAATATTAAATTAATCAGTGGGGGATGACTAAATCACTAGACATTACTGGTGATGTCTATATAACAGGGGGATGTCTGTATCACTGGAGACCTATATAAGCAAGTCCTGTGTACCTGATATATCTGATTGTCAGTAAAACACACACCTGTAGGACTTACCTAGTACCCAGCATTCTGTCAGTACAACACACACCTGTAGGACTTACCTAGTACCCAGCACTCTGCATGTTATCTGAATAACTTCTATACAAATAAATAAATACAGACCTGAAATGAAATACCTGGTTATAACTAGTTTGAACAAAATCTCCATAAGACAAAAAATAAAGACTACAGCTTACACTCTCCATTACCGAACACCATGTATGAATGACATTCTATTGAATATACTTGGACTAATCGCTGAATAGTTGAGCCTGTGAGTCATGTATCATAGACAGTGGGAGACTTATTTCAATACAATCTTTCTAAGTCCATGGTTTATTGTGTTACAGCTTCACTTGGCAAAGCTGGCCCGAGACAGCGTTGAGCGCGGACGTAATGAGGACCTCAAGGCTATATCTCACCGCTCACAGCACCGCGAGGAGGAACTCAATACCTACATAGACGAAATAGAGGACAAACATGGTACAGCAATCCTCAGCTTTGAAATACCCTCTCTCAGCAATCGTATCAGTTGTTTATAATTAATAATGACTGTTCAAAGCTGTCTAGATTATATTGTTGCATAGAGATGACAAACATGTCATTAAGGAATTGATGTTTTACATTGTGCATTTATTCGCTATTTTCACAGACTTTCTGTTATCATTTTTTAGCACGAACCTCCCATGATATGGATGTAATGATTAAACGTCAAAACAAACTTATTGGCAAGTTACGGGATGAGTGTAAACGACAAGCTGCCCAGATAGAGACCCTGACCAGGAAAAACAGGTAGAGTTTGATCTTCTTCCTCCACACAACCTGTTGTTTGGGTGTTCAAATTGTACTCCACATCTTTAGATGACATGGCCATTTGGGGTTTGAAGATTACTAGGCTCGCTGAATGTCTCTTTCTACAAATTTTTAGTTTCGTTGAAATTTGAATTTTGTAATGTTTTTATAAAGAAAAAGTATCTGAAAGATCACAGTGTATGTATTTGGTGTAATGCTGTGTATTAGACCTAGTTACTGCTAAGTCCTAAACAACCTATAGGTATGTATTGATATAAACGGTATAAATGTTGCCGCAGTTTCATTCATGTATCTTCATAATCCCAAATGTCTGTCAGTAAGCTTTGTTGAGTTATGTTTTGACTGCTGTCCTGTTGAGAGTTTGTTTTGATTGTGGCTGAGTTGATAGTTGATGTTTTGATTGTTGTTTAGTTGAGAGTTAATATATCGGTCCTGTTTGTTTTTGTGAAGGACCCAAAATGGTAACTTAAAGAAGCAAAATGAAGAGTTACGTATGCGTCTGGATCGAGCTGTGACTCGCCTAAAAGATCTGGAGGACACCAGTGATCAGCATGCTCGTGTGCACGAAAAAATGAAGGAAAGACTGAAAATGATGGATGACCATACACAGACTCAATCACAACAGGTAGATCTTGAATTCACACCTTTGATATTCAGTAAAAGGAAATTGGGAGTAACCTCCCCCTACCATCAACCAACCAAGTTGGAGATTTTAACAGGTTGAATGATTTTTGTAGATTTTAACAAGTTAGAGTGTTTTTGTACCAATAAGTTAAAGACACTTTGTACTACATGTACTGCCAAAAACCTTAACTATGCATGGGAAACTTTTCTCCTTGATATGACTAGGGCTTTGATAATCATTTTTGAAAAGAAACCCTCAAAACCGTGCCTGCAGAATAAATTGATAAAGATGCAAACCCCCCACCCAATTCTAAGCACGCTAATCTGAGTGAAAAAACGAAACAGGGCCTGACATGGGTTTGAACCCTGGGCTTCCGATCATTATACTGACATTTTCACCAACTGAGCAACCTGGTCGGTTCATGTACAGTTACATTCAAAACAAAATTAAGGGGAGGTTATTGTGTATAAAAAGAAAACTGCAGTGAAATTCTCTAGTGATTTGCCTACAGTGGATAATTATCCATACAGACCTACTAATAGCATTGTAGAGACAAATACTTCCTGTTCAAGTGTATGTTATAGATCTAGTTGTAAATAACCTATCTGGGATTCCAGCTTTCATTGTTTTCCCATTTTTGGCTATTAGTTCGTCTCAGTTCTTTGTGTATTGATTCCTGATTCCTGGTTTTAGTATGACAGTTTGTATTCCTGATTCCTGGTTTTAGTATGACAGTTTGCATTCCTGATTGCTGGTTTTAGTATGACAGTTTGAATTCCTGATTCCTGGTTTTAGCATGACAGTTTGTATTCCTGATTCCTGGTTTTAGTATGACAGTTTGTATTCCTGATTCCTGGTTTTAGTATGACAGTTTGTATTCCTGGTTTTAGTATGACAGTTTGTATTTCTGGTTTTAGTATGACAGTTTGTATTCCTGATTCCTGGTTTTAGTATGAGTTTGTTTGGTTTGTTTCTGTTTCTGTCTATGATTTTCTGATTTAAGCATTCACCTGAGTTTGTAAATGTTGGTCTGGTTTGTTCATGCAATTTTTCTGATTCCAGATGCTAGACCTCATAGCCAGTCAGAGCAAACTAAACCGGGACCGTCAGCTATTAGCACGGGAAGTGGAGTTCCTCCGGCGACAGATTGCCCAATCAACAGAGGAGGAGCTACAGAAATACTTCTCTTCCAATAAAGGACTTGTGGATGAGATTTTGTCTACTGTCACTTCAGAGGAACGTGAAAAAAACTTTACGCCAAAAGACAGGGTGACTTTCAGTGAGGACATAGAAACGTGATACAGGAGGTCTCTGTGATCTTAGTAATATAGGTTTTAACTGTGGTAGACAGTGCAGTAGGTTGTGTCTCACCAGACAGAACTGAAACATGTGATATAGCACAATAAAGTGCCTAGCCATCCATATTGGTCTCACACCGGCCGGTACCTGTGATGGGGGATTTGGAGTCTCACACCTGGGCAAATATGTTTTACCTCATACTGATTGGCCAAAAGTAAGGCAGCTCAAATCTTACATACTGACATACAGACCAAGCGAATAAATGATGACTAGCTTTTTTAAGCAATTGTTTTGTTCAGTGTGTGCCATTCTAGATTGAGGAGAAAGGAGTATTTATGATGATTGACAGAGAACCTAAAACAACAGTGTCCTCACAGAGAATCTGGTTATGGTTTCTGTCATTGAACTTAAGTTAACATTATTTATAGGACCAAGGAAGCAGTATAGTCAGTGTGAAAGATATCACTTTACTAAGTTACTAGAGTGTAGTATGGATCTTCGTAATATGCAAGTTATTTATAGAATGTATCTTTTATAGCAATTTCTGTACTTCCTTGGAAAATGCAACAATTTTGTAAAGGAAAACTGAGAATATATATAAATAAAGCTATGTAATGAAGTTGTTGTGTTTATAAACTTGTGCAGTACTGGTAGCAAAGCAGATGACAGCAAGTTTTGCTGATCCACTTATGACTTGGAGGGGATTTGTAAGATTGTAATGGGAGAATTGAAGAGAAAACCACAAAACTCTTCCTTAATGGTGGCCATGGTAACTGGAACCAGCATGTCCGTCTGTTCATCTGTATACGTAGATTGTCTGGCATAATGAACCGGTTTCTTTGACAGTTTAGGTATCTATACGATATTACGTGACAAGCATGTTGTGTGATTCTTTCTGGTTCATGCAGAAGTGTAGCCCCTTTACTGGATATATTTTTCTATTTTATATATATGTTAGTGCAACACTAACATATATGAAATAGAAAAATATATACTGGATATGTTTGTATAGTGATACATATTCTCAATTTATGATCTACTTTCTATCCATTTTTGGGTACATTTAAATATTACTTTTGTTTAAGAATTTATGTAAATGTACCACTGGCAAAAACCACAACTAGCTGGTGTGCATCTAAATATTACTTTTTTTTAAGAATTTATGTAAATGTACCACTGGCAAAAAACACAACTAGCTGGTGTGCATTTAAAAGTGATTTTTTCAGCATGGCTATAGCTTTGAACAATCATTTCTGGATTTATTTATTTTTTAAATAGCTTCTTCAGGGACTTTTGAAGAAAAACAAACAATAGTGCTCTGAATGTAAAGATTGGTTGGGTTAGACCTGGGTCTGAACATTCTAACCTGCTGGACAACCTAGACAAAGAAAGTGGCTAAAGGATGAGTGTCTATAAGGCCCTTTTTTGGGCCCCGGTATTTTCGGATTTTCACCTATTTAATTTGTTCAAAGATGTCCTATTGTATTGGTACATGCAGAAAAATTAAGGTATTAGTTTGACCGAAAGTGAGTTTTTGGGGGTACCAAAAGGGGTAGGGTAAATCACAAAAATAGTTTGCTGTTTTCAAAATGAGCTGAAAAAACAAAATTATATCATTTCGGTTTTTGAAAACATGTGTAAATGAAACAGGCATATATAAAAGAATGAAAAATTACAGAAATTCAATCGTCACTTAAAGATTGTTTATATAAATTGGAGGATTAAGTCAGGGGTTGTTTAAGGTAATTTTCAAATGAAAAGTGTTTTGTTTTCTCAATAATATCCTTTCTAATTTATAGTTAAAAACAAATGGTATTATATGGTACAAAAACTCACTTTCGGCCAAACTTTTACCTTAATTTTTCCGCATGCAATACAATAGGACATCTTTGAACAAATTAGAGGTGAAAATCCGAAAATACCGGTACCCAAAATAGAGCCTTATAGACACTCATCCTTTGTTCGTTTTTTTCTGAAATTAAATTAAGTGGAGGTAACTACGTACAAAAAATACAATGCATTTGTATGTAAAGTTGTTTTGCCTGTAGTGGGACAAAAATCCATTAGACACATTTAAGAGGAGTTATGTCCCTTTATACAAGTTGCTTTAAGTTTATTATCTGGCATTGCATGATTCAAAATTACAATTATATTTCCTATTTATGTTCATGGATTGTAATGTCTGATGAGAGACTTCTATTATGGGGAAGGTCACTACAGTAATAGATATATAAGTTTATCGTGAAGGCTTATTACAACCACAATTTCGTATTTAGAAGTTGTGAAGCTTTTAATTATTACGTAGTTGTATAATTAGGTATCTTTAATTTGTAAGCCTTAATGAAAAATTAGATATATAATTATATTCTACATTTTATCCAGTCTTAAGTAATGCTAATAACAATAATGTTATGTGTTTTCTCTTAATCTGTTCTAGTCTTTCTTAATTTTGATAAACTGTGGATTTCTGAAGAATAACTTAAATATAAATAACAAAAGAATATATCGTGAGACTACATTCAAGATTAAATCTTGAATGTGATTGGCTGATGGTCCCGGGAGAGCATTCTTGGTAAATGGGCTACTTGATTTTTATAGGCTGATGGTCAATGAGAATTTTTTAGATGTGGTTGACTGATGTAATATTTTTTTGGGAAAATATATTGTTTTATATAATATTCATTTATAAGTGTTCTAGATAAAGTTAAATTTGTATGGTTCATTTAATTTTGCTAAAAAGACTAGCAGCTGCATGGTAAGATAACATGGATCTTTCGAAGCACTGAACACAATTTAAAAAAACAACAACATGAAAATTGCTGCATGGAATAATTGTCTTGGAGTGAAATTATGATTTTTAGCTCACCTGGTCCAAAGAACCATGGTGAGCTTATGCGTCAACGCTACTAGTCCTGAACCTTCAAAATCCTTCTTCTACAGTAGGGATTAAGAGATTTTATCCTAATTTAGTCTGAAGCATCCTTGGGCCAAGGGGACTCAATTTTGTATAAATGGTGGGTGTGGCCCCCCCCTTGGGCCAGAGGGCCGGGGCCGAATAGGGGAAATAGAGGTAAAACCTTCAAAATCACTCTTCTACCCTAGGGATTACAGAATTTTATCCTTATTAAGTCTGGAGCATCCTTGGGTCAAGGGGACTCAGTTTTGTATAAAAGGTGGGTATGACACCCCTAGGGGCATATGGGTTGGGCTCTTTTGAAATTTGTTATATCTCAAGTACTGGATGTATCTTTCTGAAATTTCATATGTACTTACAGCACCTACCATGGAGTGCTATATCTTTACTTAATACCAATTATTTTAAACATATTCAGGTGAGTGATACAGGCCCTCTGGGCCTCTTGTTAGTTCAAAGTGGCTGTGGGCTTACATGTTTGTGACAGCACAGTGTCCATGTATTAACTTTTTGATCTGTGGCATGCTATGATGAAGGATTATTAGAATTGTTCATATAAATAACCTTAACCGCCTTTAACGGTCAAAGGGGTTAAATGCATTAAAAACTAATGACTAATGCAGAATAATTGGGTCTGGAGTAAAGGTGTTTTGTATGTAGCTTGCTGTAATAAAGGGTTGTCAGATTTGTTTTCAAATAAATAACCTTGACCTCAATTGAGGGGTACAAATGTTGGACACGATAATAATTTCTAGACAACTGTTTTATAAAACTATTAGGCTTAAATATTTAAGTTGTAGCTTGTTGTGATTAAGAGATATCAGATGTATTCAATTAATTACTGCAACCTCCTTTTAAAGTTGCAGGGGCTGAATTTATTAAGAAAGAACTAAGGACTTAGGAAGAACTATAAGGCATAGAGTCTTGATATTTTTCATATAAGAATAAATGCCCTGGGTCGATTTTCAACATCACAGAGGTTAGAGACAAGGGTCAAAACCAGCTCAGTCATGTTTACGTTCCTATATTTGAACATCCAGTTAGTGGCAAATTGGGTAAGTTTATTGCTGATTTATCTGACTTCTCATGTAATTAAAGTGTGAATGGGATGAAATGTCTCAAACTGGACAGCTGATTTCACCAACTAGGAAAATGTTTCTTATTGAGTCGTAGACCACAATGCCAATCATCTGCCTTAAGCTTTATCTGCTTGACAAAGGAAACCAACAGTAATACAGTACATGTACAAAACAAACCTATTGTTCATACCGAAAAACTACCGTACGACAATTATAACATATCTCGCATAAACAATGGAAATCCCACTTCCACTTTTCTGTGTTCAAATCTATGACAGTAACCCTTGAAATTATACCATCATTTCACTATAAATCTCTTATTTTAATTTCCCCTGAGATACGTTAGTTGTACATGTACATTATATTTACCAGAGATATGATAGTTGTATATAAGGTATATTTACCAGAGATATGATAGTTGTACATTATATATATTTTCCTGAGATATGATAGTTGTACATTAGGTATATTTACCTGAGCTAAAAAGTACATTAGGTATATTTACCTGAGATAAAATAGTTGTACATCAGGTATATTTACAAGAGATACAATATTTGTATATTAGGTATGTGCAGGAGACATACCAATCGGGTAAAGATATTACTTGGTATAGGCTGCTTTAAAAAGGATAATTGTCAACTCGAGAATTCTGAGAGAGGATATATTATCTAATCTGATTGATGTGTTGACAGATTAATCACAGATATGCAGACATTTAGTATGCCTAATTACCTCTTTACAGAATGACTGCACCTTATTACGCCAGCTGAAAGGCAGCGTTTACCTATTTAGAGGGTATTACACACCTCTGTCCTTGACTGAGCGGATAATTGTAAGGATTAGATTCTATATTGATGATTTTTGCTGTAGGCCGTAAGGGGCATGGTCATCTTACCACTTTATTAGTTGTAAGGCATGGTCATCTTACCACACACTTAGTTGTAAGGGGCATGGTCATCTTACCACACAATTAGTTGTAAGGCATGGTCATCTTACCACACACTTAGTTGTTAGAGGCATTATCATCTTACCACACACTTAGTTGTCAGAGGCATGGTCATCTTACCACACACTTGGTTGTAGAGGCATGGTCATCTTACCACACATTTGGTTGTAGAGGCATGGTCATCTTACCACACACTTGGTTGTAAGGAGCATGATAATCTTACCACACACTTAGTTGTAGGGGAATGATCATCTTACCACACACTTAGTTGTAAGGGACATGGCCAACTTACCACACTTAGTTGTAAGGGGCATGGTCATCTTTCCACACATTTGGTTTTAAGGCATGGGTCATCTTACCACACACTTGGTTGTAAGGAGCATGATCATCTTACCTCACACTAAGTTGTAAGGGACATGTCCAACTTACCACACACTTAGTTGTAAGGGACATGGCAGACTTACCACACACTTAGTTGTAAGGGGCATGATTATCTTACCACACACTTAGTTGTAAGGGGCATGATTATCTTACCACACACTTAGTTGTAAGGGGCATGATTATCTTACCACACACTTAGTTGTAAGAGGCATGATTATCTTACCACACACTTAGTTGTAAGAGGCATGATTATCTTACCACACACTTAGTTGTCAGAGGCATGATTATCTTACCACACA